AACTGAGGCTGGAGAAAGTTCGGGAACATATAGGAAGGGGAACTTTCGCTGCTGAAAGGCGCTACCAAGCAACGGCTATTGAAGACTCAAGAGTAATTAACGTGTGCTGCAGTTACGGTGATCTTCGGAGTGGGAAACTCAGTGAGACTGTTGTAGTTTTTGTAGGTAGGTTACGTCTTGGTCTTCTTAGCGTTCTTTTTCCTTCTGGCTTTCCCATCTAGACCTTCATTATGCTTATTGTGTCAGACAGTCTTCACCGAATTTGTGTGGTCAAATAAATGAGGATGTGATATGTGAAGGTATGTAGCATGCATAGGAGAGATCAGATATTCATTAAAAACATCGGCTGGAAAACTTGAAGCGGAAATGCAGCCCACAAGACCAATTTACATCAAAATTGGAACTGGCTGACAATTTTGTTTGTGACAAATTTATTAAATTTCACTAAGATATGTTCGCGGATTCAGAAGTGAATTCTGCTACAGACAGACAGACAGACAGACAGACAGGGGAGACGAAGATAATTTAATGTATGATCTTCAGTTATACAACGGCGTGTGAACGGGGACCGTTGCAGTGAATATATGTGATAGAATTCTAACCCTTTCCAAAGCAACGATGGCACATATCTGTTCAATATGCAAATATAAAGGATTACTGAATATGCAGGGCATTATGGGGAAATGCCATTATACCTACTGCCCAGGAGAGATGCCGTAGTTGTGCGGGTTGCATACTCTGATGCATAATGTATGACTGTCCACATCTGCGAATCAAAAAGTGATACTTTTATCGTGTGGAGAGTTTATCTGCGCAAAAATCTGTTAATAAACTTCTCACAGAGGGCAACTAGTTCAGTTTTGTACAGTTCCTGGCGCGATAATAACGAGAGATGTAAACAAAATTGCATTTATTAATGTCAGCCATATTTGTGTTTCCATTATTCGCTCATGCATCGGTCCGAGAGCCGCAGAAGGAACATTTATGACATTTGAAATAGACAAGTTTCCCTAAAATCCACTAACATATTCTGTGAATACAATCGAAAAGAAGCCGCAGGGAAATGGGAAGACATACGTTTTATCCGGTACAGCTTTCGAGATATTTAAACAAGAGGAACATACACGGGAGTCGTAACTGCAAGACAGTCGCACAAATTTTGACCACTTTGTCAGACTACGTCACTGCTGTGATGGTTCATTTGATGATGAGACATAGTTTTTAAAGAGGGTCAAGCGTGGGGAAGTGAAGTAGGTAAAACTAATGAGCAGTGCTTTAGTGTTTATGATCTGGATTTTGGAGACGGGCCGCATTTAAAGCATTCCGTGTAGCGTAGAATTTGTGTACCAACCCATCATTTGTCCTAGGAGCGAGAAAACCACGCAATGTTTGACTGAAGTCCCAACAAAGAGCTATTGTTACCAATAGTTCTTTTACCATGAACACAGAATCAGTAGGATCTTCCGAAACGTCGTCACAACCTAAAAGATAATAATGTTTATACATGTATTGTGAGTCTCCCTGTGTGAAGTCCCAAGTCAATCTAAACAAAATATAAGAATTCAGTCCGTACCTCACAGGAAACACATTACGTCTCCGCTACAGAGACCAACCGGTTAATGCTGTCTGGGGAAACAGTCGCTGTTTATTGTGAGAACCATATGGAACACATAAATACACTGTGTGGGCAGAATGCAGAGACTTTATGTATAAGAATTCAGTCCGTACCTCACAGGAAACACATTACGTCTCCGCTACAGAGCCCAACCGGTTAATGCTGTCTGGGAAAACAGTCGCTGTTTATTGTGAGAACCATATGGGACACATAAATACACTGTGTGGGCAGAATGCAGCTTGTTTCAGTTTTAAAGCGGGTGGTACATATATTTATTTATCGGGTTTGTCAGCGGCCTTCGCCAGTCTGGTTTTAACCTCCTTGCAAATAATGTACATTTTCTGCCATCGTGTCATGATTTCGATGACAAGAGCACGTACACCCCTGAGTTGTTAACAATCGATGGCCGCAGTTGTCCAACAAACTTGGTGAGCCAATTGGGTGTGCAGATAACAAGCCTAGCTCCTTCATTAGTCGGATTAACATTTACATGAAATGTTGCTAATTAACAGGCAACAGCTCTCCAAGTCTCAGGAGTTCCTCAGCCGGAACACAGCAGCCCGCAGCCTGGAGAAATTCAGCAAGGTACTAAGCGAAAAGACCCCTGGAAACCCCTTTGCACAAAGAGCACCATTTTCTGGAATGTGACGCCGTATAATCTGGTAGAGAAGTTTATCGGTGTCTAGAAGGAACGTACTGTCTCCAACTTCAGGGTGAAAAAGTAAACAGAGTATCCAGTTAAGAGAAAAGAAGCACGCAGAAGATGCTCACTGTTCAAGCCTGAAAATGGGAGTAGTATGCTTCTCCGAAACATGGATGAACATGTATCAGATTACACACTGTGCTGTTGTTAGGAAATCCCGGTTTACTTACGTAATTATAGAAGAGACTAGGAACAAGGATTCGAATACTCGCACATCACTTTAAGAACACTGAACACCGTACATAGTGGTAAAGAGCACGGAGTATATTTCATAATATCTTCGGGTGTTCTCTGTTAGGTCCGCCGTAAGAAACGCAAAGAGAAATGTTACAGTTTATAATGCATGTATATATTATATCTCATCATTCGTAAAACAATTAGTTTCAGGTTCGCTAACCCCGTTCCAACCCTCCTTTCGTTATATACCTGTGACGGTCCACTGTTCCCTTCTAGAACAACTTTTACCTTGACGATGGAAGCACAAACTTCTTTCGAAGCTTAGTAGCTACCATAACACACGGTGTAGGATTGTTATCTCGTTCAGTTGATACAGGAGACTGTAATCTTGTGCCTAGAAATTACACGCAAATTTACTGGCTGCCCCGTAGCGTGGAAGTCACTGAGAGTTGAAACGCCAGTTCATGTTTGCTTTCCGCTTTCCCTGGAAGTTGACCCCAGCTGTGTGACCTTGCCCATAACATGCCATGTTATTTACATGACATTCCGTAATCAAGCGACATGATCGGGGGCTGCAGCAGAGCCTGAAATGCTCTGTTTTCAAAACAGTTGACAAACATTTTGCTAGTCCCATGCTCCTCTGGACAGTTACAGTGTGGCCACATCACAATGCGGTCCTCTATGCCACCCGCAAGTAACATGCAACGTCAAAACTGGCTGCAATACCTGGAAAGGCCTGCTACAACCCACTGCAAAACAACCCCCCCCCCCAAAAGAAACGCGTTATATTAATTAGGAGTATCTGTTCTTCGCCCGGGAAATTTTTGTTTCTTGTCAGTACCATCATGTTATGTTATGTTATGTTATGTTATGTTACGTCTCTGTCAGAACCACTGTCCCCTCCACGACAGATTCCAGTCTTCTCTACCATTCGCCTTCCAGCTTCCACCTCTTCACTTTCAGCTCCTGTCAATCATTCTCTACATCTTGCAGCAATCTCTTACCTTCCTTCTACCTGCTCATCTATTTTCAAAAATGTTTTTAGCTGTCCCCGTTTGAATTCATTCTAATCACATACCTCGAACCACCCCAAATTTAAAAAATTTAAAACCGCTATGTGCTCAGCGTTTGCAAACACTCCTCTCGGTTGTTGGTTGTTTATAATAGTGTGCAGCACGAACAATAGCAAGACCAGTGCTCACGTGACTGGGTGTGACTACAGACGGGGTTTGGGCTCATAATCGGATTTGCTGGACTCTTTAAACAACTCATGACTGCACTTCACAAATCATTATCACACAAAGACTTGCGTTCTCAGTCAAGGCCTTCACTGCGCTGCTTGGTAGCGGCTTCCAACAGCGGACATTCCTCTGCTTCCGGGCTCACGTCCTCGCAGGCTGGCAGCTATCTCACACCAACCTCATACTCTTCTGTCATTCAAGACTATATTCGTAATGGCAGCTGTCCCTCGTTATATAGCCTCGGCACGAACCGCACAGAAAACATCGCTTCCAACAGTCACGCCACTGTTGCATGTTACACAGCGATTACCTAGCAATGGCTGTTTCCTTGGTTCAACACTTCTTGCTTCTGAGCAAAGACGCCACAGTACGGAACAACAGGAAAGCCGAATAATTTTACGTTCTGGTTAACCCGAAGCGCGAACAGGAGGAAGGCTGCTCTGAAGAAGGGCAAACGTAAAGACAAGAAAGTTCGAAATTATTTCGGAGCAAACAAACCACGAGTTACAGATAATGAAGGTTCAGCTGCTGGATGGAAACCGTTCCGAAACAACAGCCCCAAATTTTCGATATGAATACAGCAACACGGACAATTCGCAAAATGGAACAGTCAGCAACACAGATAACCCGAAGGCGTAGAATGCAGTAGACGGATAATCCGTACTACTGTGTTCTGATAAACGGATGATTATTGTACAGGTCACAGAAACGCGTAATTCATAAAAAACGTAAAAAATGCAGAAATGCATGAACCTCCACAGGGAAACCCGGACACGCATAAGCACGAAACCGACACTGCGTACAAGAAAGTCGGGCATTTCGCAAAAGGCATGGTCCTGAACACGGGAAATACGAAAGAAGAGTAGTCCGCAACACTGACAACCCGCAGAGCGGGTAATGCGCAGGGCAAATAATTAGCAGAGCGGGTAATGCGCAGGACAAATAATGAGCATAGCGGGTAATGTGCAGGACAAATAATCAGCTTAGCGGGTAATGTGCAGGATAAATAATCCGCAGCACGGATAATACGCAGAACGTATAATTAGCATAGCGGGTAATGCGCAGGGCAAATAATTAGCAGAGCGGGTAATGCGCAGGACAAATAATGAGCATAGCGGGTAATGCGCAGGACAAATAATCCACAGCACGGATAATACGCGGTACAGACAAACTGCAAGAACATGCGGCAACCAGTAGAATGAGAAGCGACAACAGTCCAGCCCTCAGCACCCACCACACGCGGGCTAGCAAGTGCAGTACTCACGGGAGCAGTATCTGGGCTCGTCCGACTTGTCCCCACAATCATCTTCCCCGTCGCAGAAGCGGTCAAGCGCCACGCACTGACCGGTATCACAGAAGAACTCGGAGACGCGACAAGTGGGCGGGGTTGCCAGGCCGGCCGCGACCAGGAGCAACAGCCCGAGCGGTGAGAATCCCATGCTGCCGAGTCAGCCTGAAACAAGCAAGTAAAATGAGTGCTGTAAATTTTCGAATGAAGCACCCTGTAGATTCTTTCTTTTTCGTTCAAATTAAAAATGATCACCCATTTAAAAATAAAGTACTCAATTTTAACCGAATTACTGACTTTATAATTTCTGCACTATGACCTATTCAGCACAGACCAGTTGATAGTTAACCAACGTTTCAGAGGAAACTGTTGCCTCCATGTTCAGGGTGTAAGTTTAGAGGAACAAAGAACAAAGATAACACACGCAGTCACAGGAGCAAGACACAACACAAAGCACAATACACATGAAAGTAGGAAGAATGCTCCGATAGAAGAAGATAGGTGTGACTCGCGTAGTGAAATACGACATAGGGATGACAAATCCTGAACAGTTTTAATATTTTTAATATTTAAAATTTATCAATATATATGACGAGTATATATTTTAGTATAAAGACAACAGGGCATGCAATGAAGTAGTCTGACGTACAACGAAAAGCGCCTGAAGATGGCACTTTAGTGCTGAAACATGTAGTGCAAGAGAGAAGAGTAAGGCGAATAAATGTATGCACTGTAAGACGGTCAGAATAAATCATGGGAACAAAGAAGCTTCGTTTTGTTGTTTTGCAGGTTTCAAACCTGTGGACCTTGCACAGGGTAGGGCCCCACACCCCCACACAGGATCCGTAAACAAGTTCTGACGTTCTGACTGTCTTATGCTGACACCGTGCTGTCTGATATAAGGCTATCTACGTTTCAGAGCAAACTGCTGCCTCTATCTTCAGAGTTTTATTTCGGTTTCTTTTGGGTACCCCATCGTAAATAAAGCTAGGGCCAGCAAGTTACTGTGATATGCCAATAAATATCTACTGAACTACAGGGTGTCACATCTAAAGAGACGGTCATTTTTATAGACACATTAATTTTTTCTTCTCTCAATATCAAATGTAGTGAATGCAGAAAGTAGCAGGTATTGCCTTCAAGCCTCGGTCTGCAGACCTGTCATCCTGATTCAGTTTCTTCTTCACGAACTTCCGGCACAGGAAAATGATTGGATATTCACTCAGGTAGGCCACGACTGCTTCCTTCCACATCCTTTTTTAATTCGTTATTCACTTATCATACCAGCATTTTACAGAATACAATTTTCGTAATTAAAAATCATCCTTAAGCAAGTCTAGAGTAATTTAAATAAAAAAGACGCAACTGAATTTGACAAACTTTCGCCTAAAAGGAATTCGTTTTAAGGGTATATAGAGCCGGGTTAGGTTGTGTGGGATTTGTGGTGTACAAACTAGCACGGGGTTCGGATTTCTCTGAGCACTTCAGTTTCCCTTGTCAATTCTCAATCCACCGACTGCTCCACGCTCATCATCTACCATCCGGGGCTGGTACAATAGGCCAGTTGGTGGCCGCAGTCTCACTCCACCCGAAGATATAAAAGAAGCTAACTGCTTTGTTACCAATACAAAATAGGTCGCAGCCGCGTCGCTTAACATACCAGCCTTCCCGGAAACAGACACTGGCGGAAGTTGGGACGTCAAAGCAGCGGAAAGAAGTTCTCCTCATTTTGGAGGGGAACTGTGACAATTGTGCACAGTGAGTTGTTCTCTTTTTGTCATTAGGTTCAGACAAGAGATCAAACAGATTTTTCGAACTGGGAGAAATGAATGCAGACTTCCATGCGTGCAAGCAAAGTATTGAATTCAGAGACATGATTCTTAGAAAACATCCTTAATTATATCTTAAATTTCGAAGATAAATATACACTTCTACAGCCTTGAAAGAAAACCAGTAACTTGTGGCAACATACACTAACTCTGCATTCTGCCCACACAGTGTATTTGTGTGTTCCGTATGATTCTCACAATAAACAGCGACTGTTTCCCCAAACCGCATTAACCGGTTGGTCTCTGTAGCGGAGATGTGATGTGTTTTCTGTAAGGTACGAACTGGGGTTTTAACTTTTCGTGTGTGTGTGTGTATGGAATTACTTTTATATGTACATTAAACTACTGTAACGTTGAGATAAAAAACTGAAATTGAGAAATTTCGGGTCACCATGGCACCGAACAGTGAGGCGACAACGCGATGGATGAGCGTACGTTATACAGCAGTTCAGACACGATCGAGCAATCTTTTCTTTCTGCATACTCGTGTTGTGTCTATGCCGTGAACACTGGGAAACATTTTTACGAGGATGTGTGAAATGTAGCATACTATATAATGGAGATGGTTTACGATGGAATATTCGTCCATTTTATTTGCGAGAGTTGGCGTTAAAATTCGACCTCGAATTATGTTCGATAAGAAATGGGACTAGAAACAAATACGGGAGAAGGTATGGGAAATTAGTAGTATGAAACCTTATATATTCAGTAATGAGAGTTTCCGTTCAATTCTTAGCGGGCGTTACAGTAATATGATTTAAATCAATGTCTGAATCGGCAGGGCTGTGCCAGACCACACGGCGTCACATTCCAGTGTGTAACTCTAGTTTAATACTGAGTACATAGCTCAGTTTTGCACAATCGCAGCTACAGCTCTGACATTTCTAAGGACTTGGCTTTTCTGTCCCTGAGGAAGGAAAATAAGTGTGGGGTTTCCTTAATGGCTGCAACTCATAAATCTGAACTGTTCCGTTTTACCCGTTTAGAAATGGCGTGGAAAATGTTTGAGAGAGGGTGGAGCTGCAATGGCAGATCACAAGCTGCAAAACGGACAAGGAGAAAAATTAGGGAACAACAAAAATATGTAGGGTTGGGGTTGAAAAGGGAAAAGAAATTAAATAGTAGTGAGGATAAAAAGCGTGAATTTTTTTAAAAAGCACACGTAAATAGAATCTGTAGGGGTGAGGCAGTTATTAAACATCCTGTGGGCTGGATGTCTACAGTTCTAACCATCTTGCACTGGCTGCTGATGGAACATCCAGTCCTCACTGGAGTTTGACGTCACTTTTGTTTGCTTTTCGCTGAAGGGCCGTTAGAGTCAATGTTGTCATATCTAGGTTTAGCGACGATTACACAATTTTTCATACAGAATATCACGTGACCGGAAACCCAACGGACATTACGTTTTCCGTCGCTATTTTCTTTGTGGGTTACCTCGCATTTACTTAGTGCGGGTTGCTTCAAAAGAGGTTCTAGGTTGTTAGAATTATATAACTTCGAGTGAAAGGATGATTCGTGAATGAATTGGAAAGGATTTGGAAGGACGCGGTCGTGGCGTAATGGAGGTACTATCCCGGAATTTTCCTGGAGTGACTGAGGAAGAACAGAAAGTGCCTAATTCATGAGTTCCAGATGTTTAACTTTTCCAAGGGGGCACCAAGCACAAACGGTTAAGAGGCTGTCGCCCGGAATTTATCTGTCATGGGTAAAACGTTAACACTGCAACACATACCGACGGCACTACATTACCGGCTGAAACACTTACGTTATCGCCTGCCATCTTCTTATCCTACAGTAACTAATGAGATTGTTTTTGCGTTTGGTTTCAATGGAAACGATCTAACTACAGACCGACAATCACTGCAAGAAAGATTCGGTAGGTCAAATTCTGCTGGCCTGGCGAGCACATTCTTGGCTTCAGATCTCGCCTAGATCTATGTCCAATATTTTTGTGCCTTTGTTTAGAAGTGTGGTCTCCTCATTAGCGGGGAATGGGTCGGTTTATCCCCCGTGTAGGCCTTGCGTTTTAATAAAGATTGTCCAGATTAGGTTAATATATACATAATTAAGATCTAAAAGTTTGTGACGATGGTATATTAATACAATTACTATGTTATGTTGGACATTATCCATCGTCCTGTTTTTCATTTAAAACACAATGGTTCGGAGACTGGATTCTGCCTCCGTCTTCAGGTGAAAAATCTGCTCAGTTGAGTTCAGTCGATAGAGTTAGCCCTTATCTCCGGAGATGGAAAGGAGATACTGTTTTAACCTGAAGACGGAGACACAATCTACTCTCCGAAACGTTGTGTTTTAAATAAAAAACAGGACGATGGATAATGTCCATAAACGAAGCAATTTTAATAATTATATACAGATATATATCGACACGCCGGTCACGGTAGCCGAGCGGTCTAAGGCATGCACTGTCTTCGCTCGCTCGGAAGCCGGGATCGTGGGTTCGAATCCCACTCAGGGCGTGGATGTTTGTGTGCGTTTTCTTCTGTGTTTGTCTACAGGTAGAGGCCTTGCGACGAGCTGATCACTCGCCCAAAGAGTCCTATCGTATGTGTAAGATCTAGAAAAACCGAAGTGAACGGAGTTCATGGAGGTAGGCCTAGGCCCACTGGGGCTGTAGTGCAAAGAAAAAAAAATATATCGACACACAATCATTGAAAATAATTTCTTCTGGTTTCGCCAGCACAGTAATTCTTGGTTTCAAGTCCTGCGGGATTTATCACCCAAATGTTTCTGTTCTAACAATCATCACAACAAAGGCTGAACTGTTTAGGCTAATTACATACAGATGAGCGGACATTAATGAAGCATGTTTCATGTTCACTGGGACAGGGTTTGAAGCAGGAAACCCGACCCAACAGGGACTGGTTCCGTCAGCTTGTGGCCCGTCCCTGCGGGTGACAAACAGATAAAACACGCGATTCGTTAGCAGAACAAAGAAGACAGCTCAGTTCGTGTCAAGACCAAACTGCAGCGCAACACTCTCTCTCTCTCTCTTGTTTTTCTTTTTTAATTTCCGCCAATGTTGGCCTTTACAGCATCACCACTCCCGGAACATGCGCCCTGCGGCCATGTTGCAGTGCTCAGCTCTGCCGGACACTTGTTACTGCCCTTACTTCCTTCCTACCACTTAAAGCTTCATATACTTACATCCCACAAGGTTAGTAAAAAAGGGCCCGCGGGCCACGTCCGACGCGATAACACTTCAAAATCGACCCGCGGCAAAAAAGGATATTGGAGCTGTGTTTTATGCCCACATTTATATTACGAACATAATTTAATTATTCATATGAGCCGGGATAGCTCAGTCGGTATAGC